TACACATTTTGCTGCCAATATATCAGTAAATGCACTTTGAGGCAAGTGTGTTTAAAATTATCAGTGCTAAGTTTTTATAGCTTTTATATGAGGCTTTGTTAAAATTATCATATCGTCATATCGTGATACATACTAACAAAAATCGTGATACATGCTGAGGCCCATATCGCCCAACCCTAATAGCCAATATTTCAAATCCTAATCAAAATTGGCTAGATTATGTAAGGGATAATGTATAGCCTACAGGTCATTATCGGAAAATAAGTACCGACAGGGCGAAGCGGACCCCGACGCGCAGCGGAGGGATCCGCTTCCGCCCTGAAGGTACTTATTTTCCGATAATGACCTGTATGCTATACATTATCCCGCTTATTATACTGCTTTGTACCAACGTAACACACAAAATAAACTTCAGATCACTTTTATGAATGCCAAAAGTTTATTTAATGACAACAAATAAAGTAGTCCCAAAAAGTTTTCCCGTTGCTCGGCAACCGCGGGCAACAGTTAGGCTGGCAACTTCCAAATTAGAACTCTCTGGAACTGCATGAAAACTGAACAAAGAATTCTGAACATCAGCGGTGAGTGACCCAAACATAAACCTAACCTAAATCCATAATTCGATCCTCTGCAAATGTGTCTGAAAATGTGCCGGTATCTTAAAATGTGCCGGTATCTACTTCCGGGTTTTTCGGGATCGCCTTTTCTCGCATTACATCAGTGTTTTTGTCATGAAAACGTAAACGGAAAATTCTGAAAACTTCCGTGCACTTGTATTAAGACTGGATATGTATAAATTACTCCCCGATTAACATTTCATTGCGTTGATTGATTGGCATTTGCGTTTATTGAGCGGCCAGAACTACTTCCGGTTTTTTCACGATCGCTTTTTGACGCAGAGAAATAGTATTTTTGTCATGAAGACAAGACCAGAAAATTCTGAAAACTTCCGTGCACGTGTGTGAAGAATGTATATGTATAAGTATTCTCCGATTAACATTTAAGTGTGTTGATTGAGCGTGGCTAGCTCCGGAGTGGCCGGAACTACTTGCGGAGTTATCCACGCATTTGAAAGACAAGCAGAGAGTGCGTTGCCATGGGCAGCGGTCATTATTGTTTTGAGAGGTCCGTTATAGAAAATAATGACCGGTAGAACGTTTTGAAATTACATTCAAATCAATGGAGCATTCTACTGCTGCTGTGAGGAGCCGTATAATAAAGAGATATACATGTATATATCTGTATTGGCCGATCTCTAACTCATAACATGAAGATTCAATTTTATCATACACAAGACGGCCATCACACACGGAGCTCCGGATACGGTTCACTTCTGTGGTGTTTCTTGGCTCAGTCTCAGCCGGGGCGGTTGCACTGACCAGAGGGGCGTCTGTGGTCTGCGTGGGTCCAGAGAGGCCAGGCCGGCTCCGCTCTGCCCGACACGGAGCCTCCTCGCTGGGGGAGCGTCTGAGTAATGGTGGGGTAACTGGATCCAGCGGTGGAGAGAAGAGCAGTGCTTAGAACAGTAATCCACGAATCAGGAGTGGCACGAGCGGAGAGGGAGAGCGGTTTTGTATTGTACTCAGCCAGGTTTAGTTCAAGAAATTCAATCTGAAAAACCTATATTTACTTGCTCAAAACATGTGCATTAGAAAACACGGTGGTTAATATAATCTTGATTGGTGAAGAGCGAGTATAGCGGAGTATTGGCCGTGCCGGAGCTTTGGGTGGGAGGACTCTGGGGAGCTGCGGGCGTGGGCTGCGGTCTCAAATTCAGCTGCAGCAGAAGTGCGAGGGCCTAAAAGCAGTTAGCCTCTCCCCTGTGACATCCACTCAGGCACAACCGAGGCATCACTGCACACAACTCATGTTTAGCCAGAATGTGTGTGTGCCGATGACTTTTGGGCTCAGGCAGTGAAGGAGGTAAGCTGATTAGACAAAGCTGCAAACAGGAGAACTCTTGGGAGACGGGAACTATCCATGATGAGAATAAAGGGGGGTGACATAGAATACACTACATGCCAACGTAACTATTTTATTTTTTTTTCAAATGTATTGAATTTCTTGAGTAGATTATTGAATATGTACCTTGCCTTGTATCTGGCAAAACTATAAAAAAAATCACAATAAGTACTTTATTTATAGAGCATCTTCCACAGACAAAGGATACACAGAGACACACAATTTAGTGGAAACCAGAGAACCCAGGGCAGACATGTGGAGAACATGCAAACTCTACTCATTCTTGCTGGGGCAAACAGCATGTGCCATTGGCCCCTCTGACCATCACCTACCATTCACACACACACACGTCGTTCTGGGCAATGTGCCGCAATAACTGCCCCACTGCAAACCGCTGCACTGTGCCCCCCTGGTGTTCTTGGAAGTCTCTCATCACAGTACTAACCAGTACCTGCCCTGCTGAGCTTCTGAGGTCTGACAGCATCTAGTTTTCACAAGCAAGTGGCACCACAGTCATTGTACCTTTGAGAATTTTTTTACCTAATAATCATGAAATAAATATCCATCAAGTTAATATTCTGGCCATCGCCAGAAAAATCCTCATCTCAACATGAATGGAGTTAAAGACAACCCCAGGTCTGACGCATGCGCAGATGCGTTTTTTTCACATTTTCCAGCCCCCGTGGCCATTTTGAATCACTCCATGAAAGCCCAATTTTTGGCCCATTAGTTAGAACGGCGGAGATAGGCGGGACTACGTCCGTTAATATATACAGTCTATGGATTAAACAGAGGAAAAGCTTTAAAGAAGACATGTTGAGATGGATCAGTCAAGTAAGGCAGCAGAGATGGCCACGTTTCTGGGTTATGAACCCCCCAGGCAGAAACATGCTGGTACAGTTGGAACATAGTGCTTTGCTCAGGGGCACCCCGGCAGCATTGAGCAGAGTGCCACCCCAACAAAGTCCTGCCCCACTTTACTTCCAAGAGACACTCAGTCTTCACTGCAAATACAATCTGCAGAGGGATTTAAGGGCCACAAATCTAAAAGCCGTGCTTGTGTGGCAGAATATGTTTGAATTTAACGCGAGAAAATAGTATTTTTGCTAAAACTGCTCCTTACACAAATAAGACAAAACGTCAATATTTTCCAATGAAGTCAGAGAATTTTCCTCCCGAGGCTGTGAGCGATTAAGAAGTTGGATGTGAATTAATCAATTATCTTGGAACCTGTCACAAATGTGTTCTAATGACATTATGGAAATAACATTTGTGATTCAAATCAATGAGAACCATCGTTAATATAGCACAAAACTAAAACACTGACTCAGAGGACACAGGGAAAAGCACATTATTCCAGTTTTCAGGAAGACAATAAAACAACACGAGGAAGTACAGCAGTGCAAAAATACAAAAGCTCAATATTTCAACTTTTCTCGATCTTGATTATTGCCATCAGCTTTCAAAAAGAGGTCCACTCTGGCGAAAGAAATGATCCAGGAACAGGAGCATGTGGATAACCTTCTCCTTTAGAACACATTCACATACACTGAATTTTAATAATAATAATACATTTTTTTTTAAGAAAAAAAATCTCAGTCTAGATCAGCTAATGGTCAAAACAATGATAAAACTTAACAAAATGCAGAAAGACATATTGAAGGCTGGAACGATTATTCCTACATTATTCCTAGTCTACATCCCCGAGAACCGACCCAATGCTGTCGGGAACATGTGTGATGGGAACCGATGCTGACCCGCGGATCACAGCTTTGTAGCGCTCTGTAAGTGATTCTTTGGGTGGCAGTAAAGCACGTTATGAAGAGAACTGGACACAGAACATTTGGTATTGAGCCAAATTGACATCTGAACGTGTTTGGGGATACAGTTCACACACAAAGCATTATATGACTTTAATCAGAACCACAAACGCCCAAACGCAGTTATCTTACATCCAAATAAACACGGGCTCATCCTTCTTCAGTGCGAGGTTTTGCTCTCTGCTCTGGTCCAGGGAAAGTGGGACTAAATATCCTAAGCATGGTCCACACCAGTTTGTCGCATCTCACTCTCACGCTGAAGTTTGGGTCCTGGTTCGGTTCTCCACGGCCCGGTTCATTCATTCACTTTCAATTAGAGCTGCCATCTGATTCTCAGAGCACCAGCACTAGTAGGATATAGGTCTACACACAAAGTATGCATACAGTAAAGTTGTTTTTGTGTGTGTTTTTTTAACACAAATTGGTCTGTGGCTGTGGCTCTTGCTTGCTCTTGCACAGTCCTACTTACTGTATGTGTCTAAAACTGATTAGTGTCAAAATTAACTTGAATAACGAGACACCTCCATTTGGTAAAATCACATCAAATAGAAGTCAGCTTCTCAGACCTGGGCCACACAGCCAGCTTCAGCTCCACCGAAATAGTTCTATACCTTCTTGTAAAGCTCAGAATCTTTGGAATTGAATAGTTAATCAATATGGACAAATGTTGTCGGCCCCTGGACAAGTCTCTTTAGCTGTGGCCCTCTTACGAAAAAGTTTGGACACCCCTGTTCCAACCTGTAACGGTGAACTGTTGCACATTTGAATCAACAATTAACTGGACAAAAATCCTCCAGTGAACGAGGCTTCAGTCTGTGTCCATGTCCACCCCAGAAAGCCTTCGCAGAGTCCAAGGACCCGGAGCCAGGTCTATGCTAATGCTGAAGTATTACGAGTGCAAACCCAGCCCACAGTCAGCCATCAGAGGCGACGTTCATTACGCCTTCTTGGAAACCAGCGCTGGAGACTGACAATTTTCTGGGAGAACGGCTCGCCAGACTATTACCACAGCCACATCCGGGCCTTTTCCATCCACAATATGGCCGACATCCATTATTCAGACTGGAGATGCACTTTCCTTGTTCCTTCGGCTGCTGCCTTTTAACGCAGCTGCTTAGAATTCGGGAAAAGTGGAGGTAAGCTGGTTGTAATGAATTGAATTAACTGATGGGCTGTGAAAAGTCACTAAAAAACGCACGTTGAGGTGACTGGGTGATGATGGCAGCGGAGGAGAGGCGCGTGGTTAATTCGGCTGCTAATGCCTACGGAGCCGTCGTAATGAAGAGACACAAAAAGTAGGCCAAGTGCCGCAGTGCAGACGGGCCTGGAAGAGAAATGAATGATTAAACGCGCAAAAGAAGGATAAGGGGAATAATAAAACACAAGGATTTTTAAACGCGAGCGCTGGTGTGGTACAAAGGCGAGCAGTGCCTCAATGAGATGGATAAACTATGAGGAACCCGCCATCGAGCTGCTTCAAAAGAGATTAAGAACAATATTCGATCGGAACAATGAAACAGCAACGCGACGATCAGAGATTGGACGATAATCCATAATAAGGGGATCAGGTTAAACTTTAATTTCTTAATTCTGATCAGGTTAGTCAGTTACTTAATCGTGACTGTTGAACATAAATGACGTCACCTTAGTTCTGGTTCATGTCCAGAAAGAAGGTCCTGTGTCCTGAATGTTCAGGGATGATAAATGTGACATTTGAGCAGTTTCATCTCATCAATTTTTGTAATGCCTCTGAATTATATGAGGGACATAAATTGCAATATATATATCACAATACTTGCTGTATCGCAATATGTTCAGAATCACAATAATTTTGCAATACGAATTGAACATCACATTTTTGACAATTCCGACCCCTGATCTACAGCCTGTCCGTCCACAATCCTAACTACCCAAAGGACAACTTTTCAGTTGTGTAAAATGTATGAGAGATTCATTGATCAAGATTTTTGTTTAAAAGTAAGTTAATAATTTGTAAAACAAACAACAAAAAGGTACAACAATTGATCACTATATCTTATGTAAGACTCCCCCAAAAAAGTGTGGATTAGAGCTGGGCGATATGGCCAAAAACTCATGAGAAGAGAAGACAATAGAGACAATAAAATGAATTTGCAAAGTGAATAGTGCTGGGAAAATCTTCAAAACTATGTTAAATCAGTTGCTCTCTACTTTCACATGTACCTCTGGACTATCAGCTTTCCAAACAGAAAAGTTAAAAGGAGACAAAAACCCCAACTCAGCAGCTTTAAAAGATAAAAGTCTAAGATAAATACAGCATGTTTTGGTCTGATTTTGTTTGAAACAAAGGTATTCATACAACTAATAAGTTAGGTCCACTAGCTTTAATGCATCTGGCTTCAACAATGTAATGTTCAACCATCAATACATTTTGTGGAGGTTACCACCTACACCGGTTGCCATGACAACCCAGACTCAGAAGTTTTGCAGAACTTGAGAAAGAACCGTTAGGATGCCTCCTGCACATCCAGAGACTGAACCAGGACCGGGTTTAAACCAATCCTCAACCAACCGGGCTTTGCATGTGAACACGGACACACACGCATGTTATTACAGTAATAATTGGCACCACAACTGTAATCTGACATCAGGAGCCTGCGCTGATGCGGATTTTCTGCAGTGACCCGGCTTTTAGTCCAAATACTGTACAAACGAGAGCAGCGGAGAAGAACCTTAAGGCTATTTCATACTCTGTGTTTCACGCATCAATGCTTTTCAGATTTCAACATGTATGTCATGAAAGATCGATAGGGGGCAACAGCGAGTACACTTTAAATACCAACATGTGAAGAAGACGGGGGAGGGTGTCATATTAGTTGTGCACAAGTTCACAAACATGACACTCCCACGTGGGAGACCACACGACACAAGACAGTCAGCTGGACGTGAGTGTACAGGCCAGATCCATGAGAGTTGCATCTGGCACATGGAGCCTTTAATATGCCCGTTTCTGACTTTGTAAATAAAAGGAAGTCTATTCAATTGGAGCAAGAGAAAAACAATAGAAAATCCCAATTGTAGGGTTTAAAAAAATAAAACATTTAGAAAATCACAGCATTGGACCCACGACACTCAGAAAGCGCTGGCAATAACCCAGAGTATTATGAAATGGAAACCAGAGGCAGCAGACCAAGTCTGAGTGCACAAAGCCCCTGGGCCTAGGGACAGGCCACAGGGACAGGCCACAGGGACAGGTCACAGGGACAGGTCACAGGGACAGGCCACAGGGACAGGCCACAGGGACAGGTCACAGGGACAGGTCACAGGGACAGGCCACAGGGACAGGCCACAGGGACAGGCCACAGGGACAGGTCACAGGGACAGGTCACAGGGACAGGTCACAGGGACAGGCCACAGGGACAGGCCACAGGGACAGGCCACAGGGACAGGCCACAGGGACAGGCCACAGGGACAGGCCACAGGGACAGGCCACAGGGACAGGCCACAGGGACAGGTCACAGGGACAGGTCACAGGGACAGGTCACAGGGACAGGCCACAGGGACAGGTCACAGGGACAGGCCACAGGGACAGGTCACAGGGACAGGCCACAGGGACAGGCCACAGGGACAGGCACAGGGACAGGTCACAGGGACAGGCACAGGGACAGGCCACAGGGACAGGCCACAGGGACAGGCCACAGGGACAGGTCACAGGGACAGGCCACAGGGACAGGCCACAGGGACAGGTCACAGGGACAGGTCACAGGGACAGGCAGGGACACAGGGACAGGCCACAGGGACAGGCCACAGGGACAGGTCACAGGGACAGGTCACAGGGACAAGCCACAGGGACAGGCCACAGGGACAGGCCACAGGGACAGGTCACAGGGACAGGTCACAGGGACAGGCCACAGGGACAGGCCACAGGGACAGGCCACAGGGACAGGTCACAGGGACAGGTCACAGGGACAGGCCACAGGGACAGGCCACAGGGACAGGTCACAGGAACAGGCCACAGGGACAGGTCACAGGGACAGGTCACAGGGACAGGTCACAGGGACAGGCCACAGGGACAGGCCACAGGGACAGGACAAATGTTAGAGGGTTGCTGTGCAGATGGATCAATAAACATCAATGTTAGAAAGTCCTGCTTCATGACGCCCTTTAAAGTATTCCTCATCAACTGAAAACATTTAGAGAGCAAAATACAACAACTGGTCTTCACAAAACATTTTCAGCCCAGTCCCACCTGTGCAGCGACTCACCAATGTGTGTGTTTGTGTGTGTGTGCGCACTGTTGAAACTGGAGCTGGCGTGTGATTGGCCGGAAATGTAAGACAAGCATCTCGGCGCTCTACGCACTGCTCCGGCCACATGTGAAACTGCGAGAGAGGGGCGTGTGGCCAGAGTCAACACAAGAGCCTTGCTTGCACACGCACGCGCACGTGCACACGCACACATGATCTTGTCTGATTGCCAGGGGCTCACTCACTGTCCAAAGTGGGATGATCAAACAGGGAACTTCATATTTAAGTTTGAGCAACTCTTTTCCTGTTCTAAAACTGAAATATCATGTTTTGATAATTGCCCAAGTGCTTATAATTATGTCAATCTCTAGTCTTTCAGAGAGCCATAATGTGGTCAGGCGACATCACTATTTCTTGTCCTCCTACACTCAGGGACTCTGCTTGTGTACAAGTCTCTCCATGGCCTCGCACCGATGTACATGTCAAGTACATGCCACATGAGTCTCGTACATGCCACATGAGCCAACGAGGACTGAGGAGCACGTTATTATTATAAAGGAATAGTTTAGACTTTCCATATTTTCTTTGTAGCCATCGCGAAGATGTCAGGCCGACAAAAATAATTTTTGTTTGATAGAGAAAGGACTTTACACAACGTTAGGCCTGGCTGGAACACAGGGTCTCCTACCCAGTCCCTGTGCTCCTCAGAGTTCCCGTCCCTGTGTTCCAGCCAGGCCTAACGTTGTGTAAAGTCCTTCCTCTATCAAACCAAAAGTCTTTTTGTCGGCCTGACATCTCTGCGATGGCTGCAAAGAAAATATGGAAAGTCTAAACTATTCCTTTATAATAATAATCCCAGGAGTCGACACTCCGGCTCCAGAGCTCACGCACTGGTTCCATGGAAGAATTTGAAAGGATATGATTTGGAGTTTGAAAACAAGGCCTCCCATAATGAGAGTGATCTATCCATCGAGCCACGCACCTGTCACCGATGAGCAGGACTGGAATGACTCTGCACAGAAGGATGCGAAAGTGAAACCAACTACAGCGTCTGAACTAGTGGTCTCTTTATCTGTGGGCCGCAAGCTCGAGTCTAAAGAGGCTGGGTCACATTACAGGAGTTTATTTATCACAGCTTGTGTGTGCAAAGATTCTGCTCTGTTGTTCAAACATGACTCATACGCACAGTAACGCACCAAACTGTCCAATCGTCTGATTCTTTATCAACAACAGGAAAAAACGTAAATGTTTGTAAATGTGGAGACGGAAAGTCGCAGATTTCAATGTTGTGCTACTTTCCACAATCATTAATATATTTTAACCAAATAATGACTGTATTATCAAATATGAGTAAAGATATTATTTAATTGATTTCTATAAACAAAAAGAGCTCCGTGGACTGAAACTAAACTGGACCAAAGGCCTGAGGAGGGCCTGTTGATAACATCAGAGATAAGATAGACTTTAGTGATCTCACACAGGAGAAATGTACATGTCACATCTGGCATGGATAGAATCACTCAAGAATTACCGTGTCATTACTGAAACAATGCAAAAGTTTTTTTGAGTCAAATCTGTTTGAAGCAGAAAGAAGCTTTCATTTTAAATGATAAATCATCGTGTAATTAATCTTTGACCCAGTTTTGGTCCGAACACAGAAAAATCCAAGCTGAAATGAAATTAAAGAAATCCTTTTGTGTAAATGTCTTCATACAGTAAAAAATGCAGACAAAGATCCACAGATGCAAAGATGAGCTTTAAACACTTTAAGGTGAATGGTTTGACATAATAATGAGAAGTACATAAAGTAATAAAAAACTACAAGATGAACAGGAAGCGTGTTCATGTCTTCATGTTTTTATTGTGATAAATCAGTTAATCATGTAATTATTATTGATGCTATAATTATTATTACTAGGATCTCAGGCAGTTCGGCTGCAGCTTTATCTGGCTCAAACATAAGTATGATCTTCACGTTCTGAACAACTAATTCATCAATAACTAATGGAATTGCTTGATTAGTCAATTATGAAAAAATACTATTTAATATTCACAGTCTATTTGTGGCACAAAGTTTAAAAATCATATAGAATGTAAAACAAAAGGTTTCCTCTGTCCATTTCATCCACGTATGCACAAATCTGTCCATTAGAATTCAACAAGATAAAGGCCTTTGTTTACTTTGCAGGTTGCTATCTCTATCATTGCTGCTCATGTCCAACCAGGAAGTACACGTTAGAATGACTGCCAAAGAAGTAAAAACAAGACAAAACTCTATTGTCAACTACCTCCAAGACACAATAGTATCATATCAACCCAACTCTCACTGTGCTCGCCAAACGGCAGACATCAGCTGGTTCCTAAAGTGCCGTCGTAGGCATTAGGAGTGATTAGCTACCCCGCCCCCAGTCCTGGGGGGCGACAGTAGCTCAGTTGGTAGAGCATTGGCCTTCAGGCCTGAAAGTCGTGGGTTCAATTCCCACCTCTACACCTTCTCCCACTGATGACTGCTGTCGTTGTGTCCTTGGGCAAGACACTTAACCCCACTTTGCCCAAAGTCCCCACTGAAAGATCAAGGCTATGCTCACACTCAGAGAGCAGCCGTCCTCCTGTGGACTCACCACCTGCAGAGGGTCAGTGAGGGGCTGGTGCTATGAGACTTGGGTGGCATCTCTGACTGCCACCCCCCTGACCCAGAAATGGATTAAAGGGTAGAAAATGGATGGATGGATGGATAGCTACCCTGCTCCTATACTGTGGAATCAGCTCCCCATCCACGTCAGGGAATCAAACACAGGCACACATTCAAGGCTAGTCCTCTTTTTATTTAGCATTTGGAGGGGTACTACTCGGTAAGTAAGGTAGGAATGAGAAATAAAACCTTAAGTTTAAAAAACACAGGTCATGAAGGACACTGGGACCTCTCAATTCAATTCATTTCAATTCAATGTATTCTTGTAAAGCCCTAAATCACAACAGCAGTTCTCTCAAAGGACTTAACTAAACCGTTGAAAACACAGATCAGAGAATCAAACAGTTCAAACACAAAGAATAGAGGACAAATAGGTATTGACCACTGCAAGAGAATTATGGGAACAACTCTCCTCTTTTGACTTTATCCGTCACATTATGACTTCGGCTGTAGTCTGTTCTTTACTATTCACTCACTGTCCCATGGTCTATAGTGATGATGGGACCCCTGAATCCGGCCTCTTTTATCTGCACCAGTGGACTGGTCGCCCCTGATCTCATGAGCTACACCCTCCTCCCTACATCGGAGCCTCTTCCATTCTGCACCACACAGCCTCAGTCCTGGATCTACAGCTGGCACCGCCCTAAGTTGGTTTAGGTCTTATCTTGAGGACAGGAAGTAGTGTAGAGATTGGAAACTGTGTCTCAGATCATATGGCCCTGACCTGTGGAGTACCACAGGGGTCGATCCTGGGACCTCTTCTGTTCAATCTCTACATGCTGCCGTTAGGTCAGTTAATACGCAGAAAAAAAGTTTCCTATCACAACTATGCAGACGACACTCAGATCTATGTCTCACTGACTGCAGGAGAACATGGACCAGTGGACTCATTCCTTCACTGTATCCAACAGATCAGTGAGTGGATGCAAAACAACTTCCTTCAGCTAAACGCAGACAAAACTGAAATGATTGTCTTTGGTCCCCAGAAACAAAGAGAGAGCGTCATCTGTCATCTACAGTCTCTCTCCCTAAAACCTTCAAACAAGGTTAGAAGTCTAGGGGTAATACTGGACTCAGACTTAAATTTTAATAGCCACATCAAATCAGTAACATCAGCAGCTTTTTAGCATCTAAAAAACATTGCCAGGATCAAAAACATAGTGTCTAAAGCAGACTTGGAGATTCTTATCCATGCATTTGTCTCCAGTAGGTTAGACTACTGCAATGGCCTGCTCACAGGTCTGTCCAAACAGGCTGTAAAACAGCTGCAGTACATTCAACATGCAGCAGCTCGAGTCCTGATTAGAACCAGGAAGTACGACCACATTAGTCCTGACTAGAACCAGGAAGTACGACCACATTAGTCCTGACTAGAACCAGGAAGTACGACCATATTAGTCCGGTCCTCAGGTCTCTGCACTGGCTTCCTGTGGCTCAGAGAATAGACTTTAAAACAGCTTTGCTTGTTACAAGTCTCTCCATGGCCTCGCACCAAAATATATTAGTGACATGTTAGTCCCATATGAACCAGCCCGGACTCTGAGGAGCACAGGGACTGGACTCCTGCTGGGACTCTGAGGAGCACAGGGACTGGACTCCTGTTAGTGCCCAGAGTCAGAACTAAACATGGGGAGGCTGCTTTTCAGATTCATGCTGCTAAAATCTGGAACAGTCTTCCTGAAGATGTGAGACAGGCCTCCTCAATGACAATGTTTGAAACCAGGTTAAAGACAGTTCTGTTGTGCTATACAAATAAACTTGCCTTGCCTTGCCTTACAGCCTCAGTCTTCAATCCTGGGTCTACAGCCTCAGGCCTGGGTCTACAGCCTCAGGCCTGGGTCTACAGCCTCAGGCCTGGGTCTACAGCCTCAGGCCTGGGTCTACAGCCTCAGGCCTGGGTCTACAGCCTCAGGCCTGGGTCTACAGCCTCAGGCCTGGGTCTACAGCCTCAGGCCTGGGTCTACAGCCTCAGGCCTGGGTCTACAGCCTCAGCCCTCGGTCTACAGCCTCAGCCCTCGGTCTACAGCCTCAGCCCTCGGTCTACAGCCTCAGCCCTCGGTCTACAGCCTCAGCCCTCGGTCTACAGCCTCAGCCCTCGGTCTACAGCCTCAGCCCTCGGTCTACAGCCTCAGCCCTCGGTCTACAGCCTCAGCCCTCGGTCT